TAAATTCAGAGCAGTGAGAACATCAGAAGAATTTAAGAATATTGTTACATTATTTCCAAATTGTTAGAATGATTTTTAAAAAAATGTATTTACATTTAGCTTGTGTGTTCCTCAGAATAGATATATAAAATTTTTAGCTTTACACAAAGATCCATATCTAGTAATGAGTATGAATTATTTGAATTACCTTGATCAATCGATAAATACCATTAATATCAATAAAACTTGCGATTACACCAAATAATCTAAAATTGTTTTGCTTCGAGTTAGATAACATTTCTATACTTTGTGTGGACAGTTACTTTTATATGCTCAAATACGAAATTTTCTCCATTTATTCCATTGACGTAGAGAAACCGGAACTTTTCATATATACATATAATCTCCGATGGCCTTGATTTCATATCATTGCGGAACCTTCGTTATACTTACTGATAATAAGTTAAAATTCTCGCAACTCTTCATAGATTGCGTGTAATATAGAGCTGTACTTTCAGCCATTAGACTATGCAAATTTACATTTCTCTTGCTAATAAATATTACTCTAACAGTAACGAAATGACTTCTTAGTGCGAAAGTGAGATTAGATTTACTGACACTGGTTTTAAGCTTTGACGTCTTTAATTTTTATAAATTATTGCTTTGTCAATATCGTACACTGATACTTCGTCGATATCTCATTATACTAGGTTAATTTAAAAAATCCTTTTAATCAGTAGTAGTATTTATCACATTTAAATTAATAAGAGCAAATTAATAAACTCTGACTCGCCTATTACTCGTTCAATTTATGAAAGTATTGATGAATTGCATGTTTTCACATGCAATTTTGTCTAATGTAAATATGATACTTTATGTCAATTATTTTCTGGTGTAATAATTATTATTTTTAAAAATCTGTTATAATATTAGGGACAACATAAGTAAATGTCCTAAGTCCATACTAAAAACACATTGCTATTTATTGTAATTAATTATATTTTTTATAATAATAAACATGATAATTAGCATATGCAGGGTGTTCAACGAAACGGACTTACCGATTTTCGAGGCATTTAAGCTAATCTGACAGAAAAATGTTTGGAATAAAAGTTAATGTGTTCTCTGAGGAAAACAAGTTGCAATAATAAAAACAATGAAAAATCTTTTCATACGATAAAATGCGCAGGTCAGCTCGATTTTCTTAAACGGTACTATGAACATTTAATGTGCACATTGTAAAAATTAATTTTTGCAAATATCAAAATGCAACATTGGGTATCATGGTTAAAAGAGTAAATAATAGTTAAATAATGGTATTTTTCGTACTGTATGTATTTCTCACAAGAAAACATAGAATTTGTTTCCAGCTTTCGAATAATAATGTTGTATCGACATTGTTAAAACTAAGAAGTAGTCACCGCTAGATAAAGAAATTTGAAGGGATCAGAATTAAATTATGAGGGAGCTTATAAGTTATAAATATATTGGCCCAAATGGGATCATGCTAGCTTAGGGAATTCATTGACGGTTGTGACATGTAATAAGATTTACGGCTTGTGACGTTAGTTCCTATTCAGTTTTAGGAGTCCGAGGTGCACGTGATTGCCAAAAACTTGCGGTGTAATAAATTGTCTCCTGGGACCCAATTATATGACTATTTTTGTCGACACTTGAAATACAGCTTGCCCAAATTTTACTTAAGAATTTCAGTCGGCCGAGTTACAAATCGGATTTCGAAGATCCTAATATATTTGAAAATCTGTTTGCAAAAGCTAGTATTCACGCATGCATTCTTATTATATTCTTCTCGGCAACGCAAAAACGAAAGTAAAAAAGTTGTTTTCACTTCCTCCTTTCGACACTAACGGTTATAGATCGTATCCTACAAAAATTAGAGACAGGCAGCTTTTTGGTGAATTTTTATTTTTCATCGCTTAAAAGCAAATGATAAAGTTTTTAGAAACTTATAAAATAATGATAATTTGATGGAGGTATTTTTGAAGCAAGAACGTTTTTTCAAACATGGTTTCAAATGATTCAGATAACGGAAGATCAAATAAAGGAGTTTCTTCATATCCTTCTAAAGATATGAATTTATTAATCAATTTACAATAATATTATAATCATGAAAACTGTGAATGCTTATCAGGTTATTTGACTTTCTTTATAAATAGAAAGGTAATGAACACTTATTTCAGGACTTTCTAGATGATTCCATGTATAACTTTCCTCTGAACTTTACAAGAAAAGACGAAGAAGTTGTAACACTTTGTCACGTTTCACTAAACCCGCAATTAAAAACAGCACTTGTTAACCTTTGATTAAATTGATAGGCCTTAATCGAATTTTCAGTCTTTTGCGTAGGATCGTCGAATGCGAGGTTACAGATTTCACGACCTTCATACATTATCTGATCATATTCATTATAATTTGAGACCATATTCCAGAAATATCCAGAAGCACATTTGAAATTAAGTACAGTGTACATGCAGACGCCCTCGACGTTTATACCTTTCACTGAACTGATTCCTTATTTACAAGGCCTTACACTCATTTTTATACTTGCGGCATCTCATGCACATTTTATTTTACTATATTAATTCGTTCACATATAACGTAAGAACAAATAATAATGAAATTCAACAATAACAGTTATATTTTAATAAGCAATAAAGCGGATAATTGTTATATTTACTTTTGTTGCTTTATCGTGTTTCATGCATTTACAAATACAAGAAATATTGTAAGTAAAAATAATAATATTTTAATTTTAATTTTATTTGAATAATAAATATCTTAATAATGTTTATTTTAATAAAAATATTACAGCACTTTTTCTATTTGTACTTTTATTTTAATAGTTTTTATTTTGATAAAAATATCATTATTTCCGAATGCAGTATTCTTTGTATTTGTAAATACATAAAACGCAACGAGACAACAAAAGTAAATATTTAGTAAAAGTAAATTTTCTTCACGATGTTTATATCAGTCCGATGTCTGCTCACATTAAATAACAGAGTTTACCTCAAAGATACATGATTATTTATTTATTATATACAACATTCGATTGAGGTAGAAGTAAGTAACTTCTGCCAAAGATGGCGATAGTTTATTAAACTAATATCTAGTTACGAATGATGTACAGTCTATTACTTAATAGTTGATATAAAACTTAATAATTGAAGAACTCCTAACATTAGTTACTATTACTGAATTCGGTATATATTTTATTAATAAAATGTTTTTTATTTATAAAACGATTTAAAGTTTCTATTGATATATTTTCCAGTAATGTTGAGCTTATTTTGCTTACAATACAATCATTGTTAGGAATGTAATTATTGTTCGAAAGATTGGCGTGGATTTTTCCGTTTCCGATGCGTTCATAAATATCACAAATAAAATTAATGATATAAACACTTCTATGAATTATCTGGGCGTAATACCATCCTGCCTTCCAGTCATTTTGAAATATCTCGAATTGACATTCGTAAAAATATATGGCGCTGTCTCGGTTGGGCATAAAACTCTTTCGAATATTTCTGGCAGACCCATATCTGTTTTATTTCCAACTGGTTCGAACATATTGTTCCACAGAAGATTAGCTCCTAAAAATATAAAAACAATTAAAATTACAAAATAATAATTCTATTCAAAATACTTGATATGTATATATGTATATGTACATATATGATATATGATTGAAAATAATCATTATAAAGATACAACCACTTACATTTACGAAACATTAATTACCCATTCAGGTTTCGCATTAAAAATGGATTCTTATGTAAATTATATTCAACTTGTTTGCATAACAAATTAATCCCTTTGTAGATCGGATTCACCCTCTTGCAAATAAATTAATCCTTTTTCAAATGAAATTCACTTTTTTACAAATTAAATTTTCCTGTTTTTTTGTAATTATTTTTAATAAAATTCATATTAAATTAAGAAACCGTATAAAAGGCGAGTTAAACTATATAAAAGTTTTGTTCCGAAAAAAGGTTTTTCTTTGTAAAAAAAAGAAGCATTTGATTAGCAAAGGAAATTTTGGAGATTAATTTGGAATACAAATAGGCGAATATGATCTACTATGATATGTAGGCTATCTTGTGTGCAACGCAATATATAATCTTAACCTAACCTAATCTAATTAAAACGATAAAATGTAATCACGCTTGAGAAAAAATATGAGAAGAAGGAGCCAGACACTTTATAAGCAAATTGTAACAGATAGTATAAATTTATAGGGTAAATAGGAGAAATATTTGCATAAAGTACAGAAGAACTTGCTATTGGACAGATGGAAAAACAGAAAAGCCGTTTCAACGACTGGTATAAACATTCGTCGAGTGAAGACATGCGAACGCATGTAACATGCAAATATAAACAGATCATCCGACAAATGATCGCTTAACACGTTCCGTGCCGAGCTTTTTTTACTCGAATCTTCACACTTTGATATTTTACTAAAACTTGATGTATTACGTGCAATTATTAATTCTCGTACACATAACAACGTAACAAGAACTTATCAACGCCCATTGTTGCGGTGGAAATTGGTTCTTCGGTTCTAAATTTCTTGTAAACAATTTGTTCAGTTCACTAAGTAAACATACAANAGATTAGCTCCTAAAAATATAAAAACAATTAAAATTACAAAATAATAATTCTATTCAAAATACTTGATATGTATATATGTATATGTACATATATGATATATGATTGAAAATAATCATTATAAAGATACAACCACTTACATTTACGAAACATTAATTACCCATTCAGGTTTCGCATTAAAAATGGATTCTTATGTAAATTATATTCAACTTGTTTGCATAACAAATTAATCCCTTTGTAGATCGGATTCACCCTCTTGCAAATAAATTAATCCTTTTTCAAATGAAATTCACTTTTTTACAAATTAAATTTTCCTGTTTTTTTGTAATTATTTTTAATAAAATTCATATTAAATTAAGAAACCGTATAAAAGGCGAGTTAAACTATATAAAAGTTTTGTTCCGAAAAAAGGTTTTTCTTTGTAAAAAAAAGAAGCATTTGATTAGCAAAGGAAATTTTGGAGATTAATTTGGAATACAAATAGGCGAATATGATCTACTATGATATGTAGGCTATCTTGTGTGCAACGCAATATATAATCTTAACCTAACCTAATCTAATTAAAACGATAAAATGTAATCACGCTTGAGAAAAAATATGAGAAGAAGGAGCCAGACACTTTATAAGCAAATTGTAACAGATAGTATAAATTTATAGGGTAAATAGGAGAAATATTTGCATAAAGTACAGAAGAACTTGCTATTGGACAGATGGAAAAACAGAAAAGCCGTTTCAACGACTGGTATAAACATTCGTCGAGTGAAGACATGCGAACGCATGTAACATGCAAATATAAACAGATCATCCGACAAATGATCGCTTAACACGTTCCGTGCCGAGCTTTTTTTACTCGAATCTTCACACTTTGATATTTTACTAAAACTTGATGTATTACGTGCAATTATTAATTCTCGTACACATAACAACGTAACAAGAACTTATCAACGCCCATTGTTGCGGTGGAAATTGGTTCTTCGGTTCTAAATTTCTTGTAAACAATTTGTTCAGTTCACTAAGTAAACATACAAGCGTGTACCATCGATGGTACACGTGGCACGGAACGTGTTAATAGTCGTGCTAGAAAAATGTAGTAATTGCATACAGTTCATTCAAACAGTCAGTCAATAAACAAATATACGTGACGATTGCTTATATTCTACGATACAATAATAGAACAATTACGACTAGTTTGCTGTTCCTTATACAAAATGAAAATTATCTTCGATAATTTCAAGAAACGGGAATTCAGTAACGATTCATATATATCCTTAGAAATCGAAGCTATTTTAACTTTAAATTCAAAATAGTTCTTCTGATCTACAGTATTTCCATTTTATATGACTCACAATAGCATAGTTTATGTATATGAAATTGCGTCTTGAGATTAATGCAAAAATTACGCTGTTACACCCTTAAATTTGATAATGTACAAATTATTTTGGAACGAGGTATAATAATTTTCTCTGGTGGATCAGAGTCATCATTCGAGTGCAAAGAGTTAATAATTTTAATCATTTAACCCCTTAACAGTCATACCAGTATCATAACGAAGTATAATTACAAACCGTATAAACATTATTAAATTCGAAACTTGGTTCAATTTTTCATATGTACACAAGTGCTTCTACCGTAAAAGAACGTTTTAATAACTGACTCAACATAAAATCCACAATTTTAAGAAAATCTTCTTACTTTCATAATTTACATTTTTGAGAAAATTTTCTTATTTTCTTATTCGCTATATTACACATTCTCATTAATAATTTCCTTACCTAAAGCGTGACCCTTTTGGCTAAAGTGAAAGCAATCATACGTGACCAAAGTAGGATCGATTGGCGATGCTTTACTGGGATCCGCGTTCGGAGCGTTAAACAATTTAATAAACGGTTGCAGTACTACCGTGAAATCTAACGATTTATCGTATCTGAAAATTCGTATCATTGGTATTAGTAACCACAACTAGGATGTGTTATCATTTCAGCAAGATTCTTCGAATAATCTGCTGCGTTACGACGAAAACGCTTATGCTTCTTTATTAGGATACCACAGAGAAGACAATGCCAAAGAAGGAATTTATACCCCTCGAGCGAGCAAATATACGACGATATAAATAGATCTTTTATTTGACGTTATCTTCAGGGTTACTCAGACCTCATCAATATTTTGTTGAACGGCACTATGCAACAGCTTGACCTAGTGTTCGATGTCAAGTTCAACGAAGTAGAATACAGTGACCTCAAAATGGCATTCAACTGAGAAATCTAGGTTCAACCAACGGAAACATTAACGCATGAAATGCTATGTTAATACATGGCTATAACTTTATAACAGTTATGTCAGGCATTATCTTTTGTGCATACGTTGTTACCAGATTGCACTTTATACATCTACAGTCCATAAACTTCATAAGAAATTCATATAAAATTTATTAAAAAAATCAATGTTGTTATAGCTTGACATTAATTAGACAAAATTGTTAATACAAGAAATCATCTTTAACTTGACTTTAGTTTACTTTAAAATGTAAAGTAATTGTATTTAAAACTTGTATTTAAAATTATACGATTAGATTTATTTCAATTTGATAGGATTTCTGATAACGTAGCTTGAAGAAAAAAATGTATCCATAAATTTCTAATTTTTGTACAGATACCGTCAAAAAGAATAGACATTTTTATTATTTGCCGGAAACGTTCACACTTATGACATGTCACCGAAAAATTTTCAGGTATCGACTTAGTAGTTCGATGGTAGGTTTTTATGCGAAATATTGTAAAGATGTATTTCACTCTTCGAAATATTTCATTATTAACTTAATATTAGCAATATTATTTTGCATACTGAACGATTTGCAGATAACATTCGTTCTAAATTATGTTTAATGAATTATAAAAATGTTTTCATATTTTGCATACAATCTCACCTTCCTGAATCAATCAGAGATTCCACTGCTTGTTGATAAAGCTGGGCCATTTTTGAAGCTGTAATACTTGGACGATTTCCTCTGTGCATGCAAGCACAATACAGAGGATGCAAAATATTGCACATGGCACTTCGAGGAACTCTAATGGACACTGTAACGTCTGTGTAATAATTGATAGTTCATACGTATACATATTGTCCATTAATTATACTATTTATAGTATACATATCTTTTGTTAATAATTCCATTTGATAATTATGTTAATAATAATAATATTTAATACTACTGATAATGTAATAACATCATTATTATTAATAATTATTATTGTAATATTGTATACATACAATAATAATATTTTCTCACATTGTATTTTATATTAATAATATTTTACTTTATCATTTTCTACGCTGATACATAACGTCCTATAACAGGCAATAATATTTATATATATAGTAAATTATTCCATTATTTAGCGTATAACTTGGATTTTTCTTCTTATCTGTATGTTCTAAAACCATCACTTAACAAAGTGTTAACACTTATTGTTGTATAATTTTCCGAAGTGTTTTGGAAAACACCGATGTCTGCTGAATGTGACTCGAAGTTTTTGTGCGAAGTGACGCGTTACATTCTGCCCGGACTAATGCAAGAGTTGAAAGTGATTTATAGACGACAATTGGTATAATTGCCACCGCATCACTTCTAGAGAATTGACAATGAAGTTTAATCTGTCTCGTGAGTGTTACGTCAAACTAGTCTGCCGTCTCTGATAAGAAAAAACAGAAAAAACCTCCGTTGATCACCATGCAAGACAGTGAAACAGTTTTATTACATTTCTCAGGAATCTTGAAGGTAACGCTATTTTAATAAACGTTGCTCTCTATAATCGTTGGCTTATGTAATCTAAACGATTTCACATCATCCTACAGAAAAGTAGCTCTTTTTCTTGACATCGCTGCCTTTGATCTTTCATAAAAAGTTAATTTGTAAGAGTATTATCATGTATTATAATAAATTACCTATGGCTGGCACGAGGTTGACTAGAGTACGAGGCAAAGCAATCTTCAAAAAATCCAATGTTCTTCGTAAGTGCAGAGCGTAACGGATCGGTGAAAACTGCGCAGGACTATAGCACTGTGCAGAACATATGTCATTTGCACCGAAAAATATAGTGACGAGCTGAAAGATAGAAAAGTATCTTGCTTCGTATCGACCAATTATCGGAAAATATAAAATGAGAATGCAAACACAAGTGATGTGATGAAGATTTCATACGTTAGGTACTAAATACGGATGTTTTTCATTTCTTTTAAATCGAAATAAGATTTGATTCTTCTGTTATCAAAATCTAGGAATGATTTCATTGAATACGTCCAAGAAATGAACATTGTCTCATTCTATTAGCGAAATTATTAAGGGCGGAGAATTGTTAATGAACGTAATTAATATTAAGATATCGGAACTCTAGAGATGGAGGTCACTTCGAATCATTTTTTTGACGACTGGTGAACAACTCGTAAAGTACAAATACTAAATTATAACTCGAAAACAAAGTCGTGTTGATATATGCGAAAATATTTTCGGTTTTAATGTGTCGATTTTGAGGCTGGAATTATTTTCACGTATTTTATTTTTATTTAAGCTTATCTAAATCTTCAAAAACGGTTATGTATACACAATTATGTGTAACTTTTATAATAATAAACTAATGAAAGTCATTAACTGTTTGATAAGTCAATAACAATACATTCAAAGTTTCTGATTCGTTTATCATTGTTCGTATATTTTTATTATGATATGTCATTAAATGAGCATTCAATTTAATTAAACAATTTGAATTTACGGTACCTTCCACTGTCGTTTAAAATCCACTTTCGGATCGCTTTTGATCCTTTGAACAAGAATTCGAGCTTGCTGCAATGCGTCTTCTGTAGCTGCGACAGGAAAAGCAATATTCAATTTCGCTTTGCTCGAAATAAATTCGCCTGTGCCCGTCGAGTACCCAAACAAATTGGGATTGAACATCTGTCGTGAAAATTTCAAACAATAAGTTGAAACAAATAAAACACCAAAGTTGAAAATTCAAATCGGTTACGTTGAAACAGATCTGTATTTACAAAACAGGAATTGATTATAATAAAAGTAGCAAAGGAGAAGGAGGCAATACAGAGAGCATAAGAAATAAGTACTTCGAATCCTTGGATTGATTGCGGATTCTACGCATTTATGACAAATAGTAGATCAAGTTCAAAAGGGTGTACAAACTTTAAAATACTATTACGTTATGTTCAATTCATTGTAATTATTAAGAAATAAATATCTGTTTAACTTCTGCACCTAGTAGTGAATGTAAACAATTTTTATATTTTATAAAAATCTGCAATCTAGCGATAATCGATAACAGCAGATACGATGTAGATAAAACAGGTTTTCTAAAATTAAATACAAAAAATTTAAAATGTTATTTTAGACATGCCGAGGGTAGGGTCACTCGGTAAATGAAGCAAAGTAGGGTGCAAATATTTACACATGTTACAAATGTAAACATCTTTGACCTTGTTAACACCTCCGGCGCTTGTACGTGAGTCTAATCTTAATACCCTGAACGGCTGTGATATACATATCTTTCTGTGGATTCAGGAAATAACTGACGACAGAAAATATGATTCAGGGTTATCAGCGTGATCCTTGTAAAAACTTTGTTCCTGTCTCGATGAAGGACGGTTTCTACGGATTTCTCTTGCTTTATTTGAACTCCAGTATCATTTACAAAGAACTGAATACTATCGTAGTTGAATATCAGAACATTTCTACACGATAATAGTAGCGTCTTATTATCCTAAATATAATATTGTGACTAATTGCCAAATACTACAAACAGTGAAGAAAATATCTATGTATATGATGTAAAAAAACCAGGGACCATAACCGTTATAATTAATATAAAGAAAGTTGTTACATAACAATTATTATCTTTATTTTCATTTTTTATTAAAATTTATTTTGATTTGCGTTTTTAGTTATAAATAATAATTGTGTGTATTATTTGTAATCGAGGATTGAAATCTTTTAATCATGCGGCTTTTTAAACATTTTCTATTTAAACATTTCGCGTTTAATAGCTCCAACTTGAATAATAAACATAATTTTGTTACTAATTTCATTCACCATAATATTTCAAATAAATCTTATTTTTGGTCCCTGAGAAAAATGGTCATTAAATTGTGTTATTCCGCTTAAGCAGATTTCATGCAGATTACACGTTTAATACACTTAATACCTTGAGTAAATTAGGAACGGTTAAGAACCGTCTCCAATCACCTTGCCCACCTACACACCAGCTAACTCCGCGGGCTTCTATAAATGTTCCAATTGCGAACTCTTCTAAAGCACCACTTCCGGCAACCAATGAATCGCCTAGACCACCGACAATATCTATGTCGCCAGGTCTTAAACGATGCACGCTTTCAGGGGCTGAAAAAGATCTGAAAACAAAATTAAATAACACGTTCTGCTTCTGATAATTAGACAAACCCGATTCAAAACAATATTTAAATGAAGGATTTTGGCGACTCGAAATTTGTGGGGCTCACAATTTTGCATAGAATATTTCTTACCGTTTTATGGTCACTGTATGCAATTTGGAAAATTTGCATTCTTGAATTTGGCTTAAATCCTGTATAGTGCTTCGTTTCACATAAAAATCATATTTGCGAGAAAGATTTCTGGTTACTCGAGTTAAAGGGTTAGGGTAGTCACATGACTTTTCCAGAATGAGCAGATCAGTATCGGCTGTATAGTTTTCAGTTTTTATTACAGAAATGGTATTATCACAGTCAAGGTATATGAGTAAACTGGATATCCAATGCATTATTTTGTCACCCGGAAATGGAGTTTCAAAAGCCCCATTATCATTCTCGTGTCGCGCACATTGTTACCGACATTTCAGAAATTTAAGCTTCTTAGTGAGAATCGACTATACTATATACCTCGTTCGCGTATTACGATGGTATACAGGTACCTATAAAATATAATGAACTGCAGAAGTGAAATTTACTAAGGCAGTTCATCCACAATTAACATGATTAATCATATCACTAAAAACAATGTGCATGAATTATTCCTACAAAAATTTTAACTAATATTCTTAATAAAAATAAAGGTTTCCTTTCTAATCTGAAAAGCTTCTAAATGTTGGGATTGTTGAATTAAATACTGTGATTCCGTTATAATTTTCCGATAATGATAAAGTTTGGCTATTGCATTAGCATAATTCACTTATTATTACATGGATAATGTTGAGATACATTATTCTATACGTTGAAAGCAGTGTATACAAACGTAAATACAAATTGAATGACGCCTATCCCGACATTACTAATGTATGTATGCATCTTCAAAGTGGTAATTTCAACTACTGCATCGCGTCGCTTGTCATCTCAAGTCCATCTGTTGATAAAGTAGGAGCAAGACTCGTTTCAATATCTATCGGGTGTCTAAACACACTTGATCTGAGTTAGGTCTGGATTAGTTTATTTCTCTACCGAACGAGCAACTTTGACGATTCTCACATTCAATGATTTTTACATTACATTTTCAAATGGTGCTATTTTTCGAGAAAGCGAAGCGATCGATCCACTCTAACGATCGATGGTTCTAACCTTTAAGCACATTTGTTCGGAAAATTCAGTTGTTGAGATATTTAATTGTTGGGAGATTCATTCGTTGGAAAATTTAATCATCGTTCGAATATTCGGTCGATGGAATATTCGGTCACTGGATATTCAGCCACTGGGAAAATTGGTCGTGCATGATTGAGATGCAACCGGTCGGGTTTCGTCAAGGAGGTGTGGATGTAAGTATAAGCTTTAATGAAATATGTTATCAAGATTATTATTCTGAATAACTCTTTCCTTTAAATGTTACCGCCGCTCGTTTATTATAATAAACGTTAAGAACATCTTAATGTACACGTACCTTCCATATGTGACGTTACAGGGAAAGGGAACATGATCTGAAATCTGAGGCTGACTCCTTATTCCACTGTACATAAGAGGATAAGCAATGCCTGTATTATCCATCTGATTCTGAAACAATAACAATTTGATTTTTACGCATACATAATCGTATTTTACACAAGATAAACTTTCGACAGCAAGGCAATATTAATTACGTATCGCGTATTTATTCAAAATATATCTAATTTAAAGTTGCCAAGACTTTTATATTTATCTTGTAGTATTTGAGGTGCAAACAATCTCTTTCTTTTTTAATTAATTCGTTACTATTGTTTCTGACCAAATACTTATTACCGGGGCTTGTACTGACTACACAATACACCCTCTAAATTATGATTAGAGAGTTTCTACGAACTTATAAATTGCTATATTTTATTTATTATGGGAGTTCTTTATTTAAAATTATAGCGTGCTGCAACGACTTACAGTTTTCCTCGAAAATAATGAAACTTTCAAAGCATATTTACTTCCGGTACCGTCGATTCCACGTCCGGTACACGGTTACGTTTCATCACAATTTCAGCCTTTACCGATCGCCGCAGAATACAAGTTTAGCACACGACCCACGTAACTGCTTTCTTTCATTTGTATTCTATCACGTTTTGACTTAAATACTGTCTGGTAT